GTCTGGCCTTTTGGCCTTCAGTTGCTGCTCTGTTTATCTGATTTCTATTCAGAATTGACTTACTTGGTCAGACCTGCACCGAAGAGCAAGATATTACTGGAAGCCTCTATCAGAGTACTCCTGAGGTCTTTGCTTCAATGTGAATATCTGCCAGCATGCGCTCCTTTCCCATCTTTGAACCTAGAGGATAGAGTATTGCTACTTGGAGTTAATGAACAGTTCACATGTTGCTGTACACAGTCCAAGCACTCATCTCAGCGTGCGACAATCTCTGTTATGGCTTCCGTTACCTCAGGGTTCACCTTAGGTGGCTAGAATAGAACAGAATTTATTCATCTATCGTCATCAACAATATCTGCCCTCGAAATGTCAGCCTTGAAACAACGCCAGATCATTAATTATACTAAGGTCGCCGCATCACCGCGGTGATGCGTCATCTGTTGAAACAGACTACATGGCCTTTAAGACATCATAATCCAGAGCGCTGTTACTGTCACCTATGCAAAATGTAACGCTAATCGGGCATAATGATATTTTACCTCCGTTATTACTAAGCATTAGAACTTTGGTGATTTCCTAACCGGTCATGTTCACAAGCAAAATGTAACGCTAGTCTACCATAGATGCACCTAATGTCTATATGTTTTTAATGAAAAATAGTACTTCATCTGTCTCGTAAGTTGTCATATGCATATGATTGATCTGTTTGATGGCTATTCCAAACCATAAGGAGTCTGCTATCACAAGCCAAATGTAACCCTAGTCTCGCATATACTCGCATACACCTTATCTCTATCTGTTATTGAAGAAAAATGGTACTTCAGTGGTTTCCTAAACTGTCATGTGCATTCTGACAAAGATAAGCCAAGGTTATCATAAACCAAATGAAATTTGCTATCACAGGCAAAATTTTACGATAACCTCGCATAAGGTGCCTATTCTTTATCTGGTGATAAGGAAAAGGTATACATTGGCGGAATTTTCAAGGAGTCATCTAACCACAACCACGCGGCCGGTTATAGCCACTTGCTGTGGTACTTCAGGCCCAAAGGATATACAAATAAAAAATGATGATGCGGAGAAAGGTATATAACAAAAAGTAGAAAAATAATGGGCAAAATCCGCAAAAAAGAGGAAAGTGGATTTGAGCAGAAAATAGGATAGGTAACCCGAGCGATACGTATTTCTGCTGGTTGGCTTTGTTGGCCAAGGTCCACGTTGCTATCCCAAGCAACCGAGTCCAATGCTTCAGCGTTATCTCAAATGTCTTTGTTCGCCCTAGGTATGGAGTTGGCTATCACAAGCTAGGTCCAGGTTGCTATCTCAAGCAACAGTGTCAGCATGTTATCCCAAACGTCATGTTAGGCACAATTTGCAGCGCCGGTGAGACAGCCATACTAATATTCATTTAACTTGCACTTAAAACAGATGGTGACGCCCCTTCAGAAAAAGAGGCCCGCACGGCACTTTCTAATTTTGGTCCGCGATGAAAGGAACCTTGAGGAGACCGTCGGTCGGTATCCCGTTCGACAATGCACGTCTATCGACCAACCTTCTGTCCTGTTTTCTAATTCTAAATGTAGCTGTACTCAGTATTCTTATTTCCGAATGGTTTTCAAATATTTCGATACACCAAGTGCAGTTATCAAACTGCGGTACTGCAATCGATAAGTTTATTTCATTCAAGAGGCATAAATCACGGGTGAGCAGTAGTAATCATGGTCCGTCACAATATCATCAGGAACCTAGAAATTGTCCATGAATTGGTAGTCTTGCCAGAGGACCAGAAGGCCGCGAAGGGTTAAAGTGTGTAGACCATGCTGATGAGTACCCAAAGAGCACGAAACAGCTATCTTCCTTGGGCGCGGACGAAAGCAGCTTGTTTAGTTTCTGTATGTCCGTATATCTGCCTGTTGCATCATAGCTTTTCACTAGTAAACCAATTTTAGTGTGTTTTTCTAATCGGAGGATTCATCTGTCGAGATGGTTTAACTACATTTGATGAAATCAGGTTCATGTGCTTAAAAGTTATGTAGCGGTCAACGTGGGGGTGGTCATTCCAAAATAAGCAATTATGCCTGAGTGGGGTATCAGATGGAAGGGTTTAATTTGTAGATTACTAAATTCGTCTTTCGGAGAAAACGTGTCAAGCGGTTTAGAAATTAGACAAACTCTTATATATTATTTTCAAGCCTCTGCGAAAAAAGTCCCTAATGGGTGTACCGATCTGAGTGCAGTTTTTTAGTCAAAATTTATATCTCTTGAGATGGTTATTAGGAATACTCGATGAGAATTAGTTCGTTCATTTAACAATTCAGGGAAGGAGGTGAACATAGGACTGAGCAACGCAGAGTTCGTAAAAATACATGAAAAAGTGTCAACTCCAGTCTCGAGATTGACCTTTTTTAATTATTATCGTGTTTACAGCAACGTGTATATACAGGGTGGCGCATCGAAAACGAAACAGATGCATTTACTGGCTGCTCAGTTTTTTTTTAAAACGCTCTGACCCGTCGATTTTGTTTTCGAGGGGGACACAAGTTTGACAAAACATCACGTTAGCACGTGCAGCACCCTAAGCGGGGGTGAGACCACCCCCAAAACCTTAAATGGGAAGGGCGGTCGAGTGCTACATTATTTTAAAGGTCTTTCAATTCCCTTTATAATGATATAAAATTAATGTACTTCAGTTCAGTAGTTTTGAAGATTTATCGATTTAAGGCTTAAATAAAACTAATACATCATCATTAGTGGAGATCAATACTTTGGCAGCAAAGTAATTTAAAAATGAAGAATGAACTGACCCGTTAGACAAGTAAATGTTGAAAATTGGCACCATGACTCTCCATGCAATAATAAAGATTTTGCTCAAAACGTTGCCGCACATTTCGCAATATTTGAGGAGTAATTTGAAGGCACTCATGATGTTGGCTAAGTAGCATAGATTTTGCTTTTTAAATGACCCCACATAAAGAAATCCAAAGGTGATAAATCTGGCGATCTTGGGGGCCATTCAATGGCACCTATTCTACCAATCCATCGATCTGGAAATGTTTGATCTAAATATTGTCGAACACGTAATGCATAAAGTGGTGGGGCACCATCCTGTTGGAACATCAACCTATTCGCAATGTACCGCCGATCATTCTGATTTTCAATTATGGCTGTTAATGCAGGATCTATGGCGTCTTCCAGTAATTCCAAATATATTTCACCGGTCAAATTTCCAGGTAAGAAAAAAGGACCAACTAAATGATCGCAAAAAATACCAGCCCAAACATTTAATTTTTGTGGCTGCTGTGTATAAACCTCATGATAAATTCTGGGATTAGAATCGGACCAATATCGGCAGTTATGACGATTTACTATGCCATTTAAGAAAAAGGAACATTCGTCGGAAAAGCAAGTGTTAAATAGAAAATGTTCATTGTTTATAGTTCGTTCTCTCATATCTTCACAAAATTGTAATCGCCGATCAAAATCGTCTTAATTAAGTTCTTGTACCAGGTGAATTTTATACGGATGAAAACTATGGGCCTTTAGAATCCGTTGGACAGTAATTCGACTAACACCACACACAGTCTCCAATTTTCGGGTACTAAACGTAGGATCTACATAAACTTGCCGTAAAACCCCCACTTCTATTGCTTCTTTCCCTATGAGATTTTCAATGTTGCGTTTTTTATTGGCGACTGACCCAGTTTCCCGAAATTTAGCTACAAGTTCTAGAACGTATTCTCAATGCACGTTACTGTTCTCATGGAACCGTTAAAACTAAATAATGTATCCTTGGAACGAACACAAGAAATCAAATTTCTTGGACTTATATTCGATCACCGATTGATATGGAAAAAGCAAATAGATTATCTAGTTAAATCATGTCAAAAAAGGATGACCGTACTAAAATATTTAGCCAACAGACACTGGGGAGCAGAGGGTAAAAGCCTCCTCAGCATCTACCGATCACTGATAAGAGCTAAAATTGACTATGGAAGCATAACTTACGCCTCCACTCTCACGCCATTAGACAGTATGCACCATAGAGCACTGCGCTTAATACTCGCAGCAATTAGAACAACACCAATCCAAAGCTTATATTGTGAAACCGGTGAACTATCGCTGAATGACAGAAGGGAGCTTCTGAGCCTAGCATACGCTACTAAGCTCGCATCAAACCCAATTATCCCTGGCCACAAGAACATAGAACAGATTAATAGGAAGTTGAAGATGGATCAACCTGATACAACTAACAAAAAGCCATTCTACCGAAGAATCTATAGTTACTTGAGGAAGCTCGACATCTCACAGATACCCATGGTCACCAATAAATCTAGAACAGACACCGCACCCTGGACCATACATAAACTAACCATCAACCAATATCTCACAAAAATGAATAAGATAGACACACCAGCGACAATAATAAAACAACACTTCCAGCAAATAATGAACAAATATCAGAACTATGAAAAAATATACACAGACGCATCAAAACTTAACAAGAGAGTAGGAACAGCTGTTGTGACATCCTCCAACACCCTTACAATGCGATTGCCAGATGAAGCTACAATTTTAACAGGGAATTATATGGAATATTGGAGGCTATGAAACACATACACAATCAAGCGATCCAACGGAGCCTCATCATAACAGATTCTTTGAGCTCTCTCCAGCTCATCCAAAAGATCTACACAATAATCACATAGTTCTCCAATTAACCCTCCATTAGGCGCGTGGATTATACTAACGTATTTAGGCGCGTGGATTACAATGGTAATCCATTTTATTTAATTTTTGAAATGTAAAAAAAATAAAAAAAAATTGAAATATGTATTTTATCATAAACAAGAGACCTTCATTATATATAATACATTTTGTTTTCGGCGGTTATGCAAATTTCAGCTTATGGAAATCATAAATTATTGTACACGTGCTTTTTTAAGCCTTTATTTGCAAGTTTTCAATAATTGTTATTAAAATAAACATTAATTTAACTAAAACAGTAACTTAAGTATTTTATCCTGAATAAAAGTGTTTGTCAACTTGAATAAATGAAATAATAACAAATTATAGAATATACAAAACGAAAAATAGCATGACAAATATTTGCTACTTTTTACATTGACAAACAAGACGTACACACTTCCACCATATGTTCCTTGCATGCATGTCTGCTACATTTGTGGCAAATTTTTCTTGTTGATTTGTTACGACTTCTCGTGCAAATGTAGCAGCGACGTATGCAACTTCCTGGCATATCAGGTGGTGGTGGAGGAGGTAATACCTCTTCCAGTCCCAGCAGGTGGCGTGCTCGACGGCGGATTTCTCTTGGTATAACAGAAATAGTTGACCTGTGTTCTATTTGAGGTTTTATTAGTTCCCAAGCAAATTTTTCAATAAAGTCAGATCTTAGGACTTTCTCGTTAGGGTGATTTGCTTTATAAACACAGCAAGCGTTTATTCCAGATATATTCAATAGGTCATAAAATACAACCATTGGCCATCGATTCGTTGTTCTAGCTACATTATAATTGTCACTCATCTGATCTACTAAATCTACTCCTACCTTCGTTTGATTGTAGCATGTTATTATTTCCGGCAATCTATTTTCACCACTTTCTGGATCGATAGAACTATCATGGTGCATTGAAGAAATGACTATTACTGCCTTATTTTTCTTTGGGCAATATGAAGCCATTGTGAGGTCTTCCCGAAAACCAAATATCGAGGTTTTTTCTTCCCTGTTCTTTGTTGGCAAGAATTCTGTTGGTATCTCCCGCTTATTCTTTCGCATAGTGCCCACGTACGTTAGTTTTTTCTCCAATAACTTAATTGCCAGTGGTACGCTGGTAAACCAATTATCGCCTGTTATGTTACGGTTTGTTCCTTCTACGGGTTGCACTAATCGCAGAACAAGATCATTTGGAGAGTTACTCAACTTATATGGTCCTTCAGGCTGAGCTCCCAGATATGGCTCAAGATTAAATGTATATGAAGTTTTAGCATCCACTAATGCGAACATCTTTACTCCATACCTAGCTGGTTTTCTAGGCATATACTGTCTAAACGGACATCGGCCCCTAAAAGCCAGTAACTGTTCATCTATTGTCAAGAATTCACTTGAAATAAAGTTTTTCTGGAATGTAGCTAAGAATGTTTCAAAAACTTCTCTTATAGGTGCAAACTTATCAATTTCTCGTCTTTCATTTCTCGTTGTGATATCATCAAACCTCAAACATCTTAAAATAAATCTAAACCGCTTTTCGCTCATTGCCAAATAGCATGCTTCTATCCCACTGCCTTTTGAGTTATTCCATATCTTGTGAGCATTTTTTCTGGAACTTCTTAACGTCCCAATAAGAAACAAAATGCCAATAAATGCACTAATTTCTCTTTCGTCTGTTAATCTGACATCTCGATCCCTTTGAAATTTGTTTTTGATTTTTTCAATATACCTATTTGTCGAGCTGGTTATCATTCGAATAACACTATCAGTTATAAAAAGTTTTATACAGTCAATTTCTGATACTGCATCACGAGCACTGCCTTTTGGCCCAGGAAGTAACTTTATAATGTTATGAGATCGAACACGTACTTGTACATTTGACCTACTTTTTTTCCACTTGGTTATTTTATCTTTGCCAAGATAATAACCTCCACACTTATTTTCTTCCACAGCTGCCGTGTCTTGGTCTGGTATGCCCTGATCTTCATCTGAAGAAATGTCTTGCTCGGATTCTGATTGATGATCGCTGTTCTCTACAAAATCTTCTTCTATCTCGTCTTCATCTTCTTCATCTAAATCACATTCCTCTTCACTTGAAAGCTCCTCGTACCATTTCATCCACATCTTTGGATCTGTACTACTTTCCAATCGAGGTTTTTTGGATTCGGACATTTTTTGTGTCTGAAATGATATATTATATAGTTTTTAGAATTCCGGTTGAACAAAGAATATTGGTTTTGTTAAAAATTAAGTAAAATAGGATACCCAAAAAAGACAGTCTGAAGTTTACCAATTCATACAATACTTTACAGTGAAAAAACTTACCGAAAGTACCAAACGGCAAAAACTCGAAACTATGCGATCTACAAAAACCGCAACGTAAATAGGCGCGTGGAGTACACTCGTAATCCAGCCGCGGTTTGCCCTTGTTAATCCGCTCAAACGCACTTCTCACTTGACTATTCGATACTAAGGAGCCTACATAGGATACCTACATCTGCTACCGACAGCTACTCAAGCGGGCGATTCTAACTGCGCGCTGATTTCTCGTTGGTCACTTCCCAAAGCGGTGTGGATTACAGTTGTAATCCACGCGCCTATTGGAGGGTTAAACAGATCCTTCACGCGATACAATCAGAAAACCACAATGTTGTTCTCGTATGGGCTTCCTCTCACGTCGGTATCAGGGGCAATGAAAAAGCAGACCACCTTCAGGCAAAATTGGCGGCAAATCTCGCAAGCATATCTTCTGTGAACATCCCAGCTTCAGACCTCAAAGCTCTCCTCAGAAACCGAGTGATTGAAACTTGGAACAATAACTGGCAGAATATTCCATCGAAGCTTCTCGAATTAAAACCTAAATCCGAACCTTGGACTCCAAACTCTACTAGCAGTAGATACCAAACCCTAATCACCTGACTCCGCTTGGGTCACACCCGGATCACTCATGAACACCTCATCACCCAGGAGCCAGAACCTATGTGTGAAATACGTGAAACTAACCTAACCGTGAAACACTTATTAGTGCAGTGCCCATTACTAGAACACCATAGAGTGGAATGCAACCTTACATCGATGGCTTTGAGTGACATTTTAGCACCCAATTGTAACATACGCAAACTGATACACTTCTTACAGCTTTGTAATGTACTACATAAAATATAACGTACTGAATCCGATACCGCTAATGGCCAATAGGCCGATGCGGTTTATTAAATAAAAAAAAAAACTGTTCTCATGTCGCTCATAAAATATTTCTGCTGTTCTATTAGCGCACTGATTATTTCCGAAAAATATTTCGACAATTTCAACTTTTTCTGCTGTGGAATATACCATGGTTAATTTATGTAATAAAGCGTTACAAGTTAAGTTATCAACAAAGTTTGGTCAAATCAATCGCAAACTATGTACTAAATTCCTACTTAAAATAAGTACGAGATATTTCCTGATCTTTGTTCGACAAATAACTTTTTACCACAAAAAAACGCTCTAATAGCTATTTTCAACAACAAAATAATAAACAAACCATGGGCGTAGTGAAGAAACGCATTTACTTATTAAGTCTTCTGAAGGTAGTACAAACTAATCTGATCTACCCATTAAAGTCTACTTTAAGCTTTACATCAATAAATCTTCAAAACTACTGAACTGAAGCTCATGTATTTTACATCATTATAAACGGAATTGAAAGACCTTTAAAATAAGCTATCACTCGACCCCCCTTTCCATTTAAGATTTTAGGGTTGGTGTCACCCCCGCCAAGGGGGCTGCACGTGTTAACGTGATTTTTGCCAAACTTGTGTCCACCTCGAAAACAAAATCGACTGGTCTGAGCGTTTTTTAAAAAAAAACTGAGCTGCCAGTAAATGCGTCTGTTTCGTTTTCGATGCGCCACACTGTATAGTCTGTTCCTCAGGAAAATCAAGACCAAGTTGAAATTTGGCATGTTGGCAAGTAGTAGTAGTGGGAACAAGAATCAATCCTCATCGCACCTAAGAAAATTAAATATTTATTTATATTAGGTATCACCCTTTCAATAAAAAAATATCTTTCTTTACCTTATGTCTTCAAGAATATGAACCTATGTCAACGCCAAACAAAGTGGCGTGCACGTCATCACGATAAAAATTCCCCGACCTAATGCCTAGGTTTCTATCACAAACAATTGCTCTATTGCAGTTTCATATTAATGTGATATATAAATTGTAAAATGGTCATTACTCTCTTATTATGGTTAATAGTCATATAAACATTGTTATTAAAATATCACATAAGTTGCTTTCTGATAAATTTAGACGCATTATGCGAAATAAAATGTTTTGCAAACGCTCCAATCACTTATCGACATGTAAACGCACTAAACCGATTTCGCAGCGTTGACACATTGTCACCTTGAAACTTATTTAAACTGGGAACTGACATTTGTATTAATTTTGACACTGAATCAATTTGTGGCATTTCAAATCTTTATAAATCCTTTGGCCCCGCATACTGTAAATCAACAACTGTTTGTTTCAAAACAAAATTATTCATTTTACGAGTAGATAAAGGCAATTTTGGTATATAAAGATGCCCAAACAGTTAAATAGTCGGTGTAAGGAACTCGTGGCCTCGTTAATGCACTACTTTGAGCAAGAAAGGGACAACAACGGGCCTTTGTTGCCTTTAAATGCTGTTCAAGAGGTAGGTTACTAATAATTATATGTAATGTATATTAATAATAGTGAAATTATATTTCATTTTTTGTAGCGTGTTGCTGCTGCTTTAAAAATTAGTTTAAGGACAGTTAGTCGTATTTCCGAGGGTGTGAAAAGTGATGCAAATTTAGAATCGCTCAAGAAAAAGCGGAGTTATATTAAACGTGTAACCAACACAGCGACATTGGATACAAGTGCCATTCGAGAAGTGATCTATAATATGTATCACAAAAGTAAGATCTTATTATAATAACTTATCAGAAATTTGCATTAATTTGTTAACTAAATTATAATGTCATATTACACATGGTTTCAGAAGAACAAGTTACGATACAAACTTTATGGTCTCGATTAAGAGATAGGGCATTATTTGATGGTAGTGCCACGTCTTTAAGGCGGTTGCTTAGAGATCTTGGATTTAAGTGGCTTAAGGACAATCCGCGATGAGGACTCATGGAACTACCAAGTATAGCTTTGAAAAGGGTGGAATTTCTAAGGCAATACAATCAAGCCAAGGTTGAGGCCTTATACCAGTTTGTCTTCCTCGATGAAACTTGGATATTTCAAAATGGGACCATAGGTCGCTCTTGGCAAAATGGAAACCAAAAAAGCGTGAAAGCTATTAAAACAGATGGTAAAAGGTATGTACTTTTACACAATTTGCACTATAAAATTTAAAACTAATATATTTTAGATACATTATATTACATGCTGGAAATGAAAATGGGTTTATTGAGGGTAGTGAAGCGATATTTTCTTCGAAAACAAAATTGAGCGATTACCATGGAGAGATGAACCAGGACAATTTTTTGAAATGGTTTCAACATCAGTTATTAGAAAAATTGGAGAGTCCATCTATGATTATACTGGATAACGCCTCTTATCACAGCATGATATTGAACAAAGTGCCCAACAATGCATGGACAAAAAAAAATATCCAAGACTGGTTGACAAATCAAAACATACCATTTTTAAACACAATGTTTAAAACAGAGCTATTGAGTATTGTTGCTCGGTACATAATGCTTCTTAATTATATATATTTTGGTCGACAGTTTATATTTCTTTTGTTTATTCCTATTCTTAAAATAACTGCTTTTTTAGAAACAAACCACCTAAAATATACGTGATTGATGAATTGGCGGAACAACATGGGCACAAAGTTCTTCGTCTGCCTCCTTACCATTGTATATTTAACCCTATTGAGTTAATTTGGGGCATAGCAAAAGGTTACTATAACAGACATATTGGTAGAGATGGTAACAGTGAAAAAGACTGTTTGGACATGTGGAACGAGGCTCTACAAACGGTTACCCCAGACATGTGGAAAAATAGTGTTCGACATACTGAGCAAGAAATTTTTAAATGGTATGAAAGAGAACGAATTTTTGATCGACCAGACATCGAACCTTTAATAATCAACTTTGAGAGTGATGAAGATTCAGATTCAGACAGCGCTGAAGAAAGAAACTCCGACTAACTTTATTGTACAGAAAAAGCTTACACCAGTAGCTTACCTAATTTTAGAATGCATTTTTCTGTATGAATTCTGTAAAATAAATACCATGCATAACATTTGGAGGACTCCATTTGGATTTTTATTCAGTACCTTTAAGCTATCAATTAAATATGGTAGTTTCATAGTGTCATCTGATCAATAATTGTCATACTTAATGATTATGCAAGTACAGATCTATAATTTTATTATACTATTATTTTTGTTCTCATTTGAGGTTAATATTGCTTATAAACCTAGATATGTATAGATATGTAATTTTAACTCGGTTTTGGATTTGGTATGAAAATAAGTTCTCTTATCGGCTCATCTGCACTCTGAGCATTTTCGAACGCGACAGCAAATAGCACAATCACCAAACCGTAGTAAGAAACCCTCATTTTCTGAGCACCCGCACAAAGCCTCGAAAATTACGATGAGTAAGTAGTAACAAATAAACTCAGATTTTCTGTTTTCACTTTATTTTTATATTCCCAAAGTGTCAATTGCTTACGGTGAGGCGAGGTTTGGTTTTTTATTTTTACCCGACTGCCTCAGAAGGAGGGTTGTGTTCTTTGCATGTATGGGTAGCTATTTTTACGGTTTTGGTGGTTATGTCACAATGCCACACAAAATAAGTAAACAAATTCGCAATGCAGCTGGTACTTGCTCTTGCCATGAACTGGGTGATAGAGGATAGCAAGTTCCACTCATTTTTTGAAAATACGTCTAGTACAGGCTATCGACATTGCAGTCGTATCTTCATGCACTGATTTGTTTTATACCTTAGATCAAAATGGGTAAGCATAAATCAAACGCCCATGTCAAGCCATTTGTCGTTCTGACAGTGAGAAGTACAAATTCAAAGGACTCACACGTTAATGAGAAAATTTCAATACCATCAAAAACGCATAGGTTTCGCCAGAAGTTATTCTATTATTTGTGATTTTTATGAGAAAATATTCCCATACGCAGCAGCCTCATCTCTTTGGAGCTCTCGTGTGAAACTGCTCGTCAACAATTTTTGATAAATGATCATAATAGTTCTTGATATGCACTTATATACTATATGGTATATATACACCTACAACCCCATTAAATTACACTCCGAGCGTAATGCTCGTATATATAGATAATATCGCGCCCACCATATACCAGGCATCCTCGCACCAGGTTATCACTCTTCTACCTGACTCTGTCAGTCGAATGCACTACCAAAGATGCATCATTCACAACCAACGCGCTACCGATAGTAAATCTGCTGCAAATATTTTTTCAAGTTTATAAAGCAAATGTACAGAGAAATCTGTGATGTCTGAAATATTCCTATTAGGTGCGCAGAATTACCGGGGTTAGGAGTGTGTCAATTTTCACACCAAAAAATTGTGATACTCCTTTCCCTAACCCTAGTTCTTCACCCTTAAGATGTTATTCGAAAATGATCAAA